TTTTGCAGTTCGTCTGCAAAGATCACATTCGTGTGTTCGATCCTAGCTTCGTGCAAGGATTGATTTTGTGTTTTGATAGTTTAAGTTTCAGAATGATATAATGGGAATTTATATTCTCGATTTCGTTCTGGTTCAAGATTAAAGCTTAAACTAGGGTTTTTTCAGAGTAAAGTAACAAACTTTAAAAAAATTCGTATCTCTTCAATGGAAGGCCTTGGAGAGCTGGGACTGGTCTTATTTTGTAGAGGACACTTTACCCTATAATGCCCAATATTTAACTTAAAAATAAAAAATATTTCTAAAATAAGTCTAGAAAAAGAGACATTACCTTTAATTTTCACTCACGGTGCGCTACAAAATTTGATACTATATATATCACTAAATAGAGGAAATCTTTCTCCACAAACCTACATATATCCCGTTTCGGAGTCAAAACCTTATAGTCGCCTTTGCTAACTGAGACTTTTAAGCCTTACTTATTACAATCAACAGCTGACCATATGTATTTTATAAAGGTTTTTCAACATGTTTGGTAGCATAGCTCAATCGGGATATATCCCGATTGCAGTTTTGACTATATCCCGATCAAGATATGTATCCCATTCATGGTATACTCTATAGGCCTATCGAGAAAATTATCCCGTTCGGGATACAAGACATGAGACCGGGCCTGTCATCTAACAGTTGTGATTTTTGGCAGGTATGCGCAAACCTACCCTATGCCTGCCCATCGATATTCTTTTTTTATAGGAAACTACATCTACAAAGCCGATTAATAATTGCTTGCTGTGCACGAGACACATGCAACTCGATCGGACACTATGGTTGAGTCAGGTTAAGATGTCATTGGGTTGGGTTCGGATCGGCTTTTTGATAGTCGGGTCGGGGTTCGATTGTGTTTTTTAACCCGTACAGGTCTCTAGCGATTAGGATTCACCATATACCTTCTATCATATAAAAACGAAATTATGTGTAGAACTCTCGGCTTTTACTTTGGCGTAGACACTGTACCTGATATTCTATGATAAAATTACAATCCTTAGTCGTGTGTGTCAATGTGAAACCTACCACAAGATGTAAAACTGTTACCACTACGGATTGCACCAAATATAAGTTATAAAACATTGAAAATGATGAATTTCGACGAAAACTGCAGGTCTCAAGCGCTTATCAGTGAATCTTATGGTGCTTTTTGGCAAGTTTTCGAAATTTGTTTTCATCGCGGAACTGAACTGAGCACATCACCAGATGCAGTTTTTCATGCTGATTACGAATCTGGTATTATCGCTTGAGGAAAACTTACTTTTAAATTCCAAAACTCGATTTTACATTTTTTGAAAACAGTATTTTCGATTTCTTCACATAGACACTTTGTCGAAAAAAATTTGAAAATATATCACAGACAGAGAATTGAATTCTCTACAGAATGACGTGTTTTTTTAAAGTTTAGGCGAAAGATGTCGGAATTATGAGACTTTTATGTTTCAAATTTGTCGGACGTACTATACAAGCTTAACAGCTGGCAGGACCTTGATTCTGGCGTAGTTCGACAGCCCATGTCTAGCTCGACAGCTCAGTCAGCGCTCTCTGAATATAAAAATCAAGTGTTCTGATAAATGTTTATGGTTTCAAAAAACCTGATCATTTTTCAAAACGTTATTCTGTCACGACAATTTATTCGACCTGGAAAGGCAAATTTGGGAATTTTGAATTTTCTTTTCTTCCCACGTGTAGCCTATCAAGTAGGCTACAACTTTGCTGTGTAAAGTTTTTTTGTGAACCTTTCCTTACGCTAATTTTCAGTTTCTTTAGACTGAGGTCGAAGTCGAAGTCCGTTTTGCGTTATTCCATCACGGCCTATCTTTTTGCTTATAACTTCTAGACCAAATGTCCGAACCTGATGAAATTTTCAGGATTTGTAAAACACATGATCTCACATATTCTACGAAAATTGCAGCCCTTTCTGACTTAAATTGGCTGAAATATTCAAAAAAGAAAATGAAAAAACGTTATTCCGTCATGCTCGGACTGACCGAATACCTGTAGGTTGTCGTGTATTTGCCGCAGATACAATATATTTCCGTATTTAATAATTGCTTTAATGAGATTAAATAATTCTTTTTCAAATTGATCATAAAGCCATCCGTATACAGTTCACACAATTTTAGTATTATTAGTTTCTGTTTCTTTTGCTTAAATATATGTTGAAATATGATGTCTATGATGTTATATGATGCTGATAATAAATATTGTAACGTCTATTACTGATAAGGTGAAAGAACTCTCACAATACGAAACATAATACCGTATTCAAGTCTAGCATAAAAAGATACCTACAAACATCCTTACATCGCTTTCGAATGAAAAATCCTTTTGAGAATACTTGAGGAGCCAATGGATCTTTTGCAACTTTTTCCTCAAAGTCCATTCATCCAGTAAACTTTATTTTATTAAAGAATCAATAGATTTTCTGTTGCGCTGAAAGTTTATAAAAATGGATGGGTATGAAATGCCGAAAGAGGCTCCATCTTGGTGGAAAAGTAAAATACCGATCTCTTAGCATTTATATCAGCTAGAGATCTGCGAATTTGGCTAAAATTCATAATTTTCTGTCTTATAACTTAAATGTAGCGCAAGGGGTAGTAGTAACAGTTTTACAATCGTTGTAAGTTTCACATGGACACGCTCAGTCATGTTCCCTTACTATATTACACAAACTCAACGAAGAACATTGTACTATCCTTCTCAACTTTTGGTTGTTTTGACGCTGTTCGGAAAATTTGAATAAGTCGCTCAGTACTCAGTACAATGTCAACATTCAAATACAATGTCTGTATTAAACATGAATTTGTAAATATTTCCGTGTCAAATACGAATATGACTTTTATTGAGAAGCACACTTCATATAAATGTTTGTTTGCTGGTACACTTTTATTTTTTTTCTTGTTGTTATTTTGTAATTGTTTTTATTTCTCTGTTTACATTGCAATTACTTTTACTAATGGTGTAAATGTGACAGCATTATATGCTTTGTTTAAGAAAACGATAAATAAAAAATAATAAAACATAAAAATCTGAGTTCAATTTTCCAAGTTAGAAGAAGTACAAAGTGGGTTCCATATATATAAACTATTGTAAATAATAAATCGATGATGCTACATGCCTGTCAAAAAAATTGATTATTGAAATATTATTAATGCAAAGGGCTCGTACTTATTCAGACGTAGAACGAATAGGCTTTTATGAGCAACCACAAAATGTACCTTTGCGAACATTAACAAGTCCATTGCGTACTCCATCTGAGCATCGAACGGGTGTTCAGTTCAGAAGTTCAATTCAAATCAAAGAAATTCCAAACGGACATGATGAAGAATACGTGGAGACGTGGGAGCCAAGCATGGATGTATGTACCCAACACAGATAGCTGGTGATTCCATGTTAGAGATGTGCAATCCGACCCGAACGTTGGGTACGGGTCGGATTTTTTAAACTTTATCCTACGGAAACTGATGTCACTAATTCTGTAAGAAGGCATAAATCAACTGAGGAAATCTATAACTGCTATGAAGATCATTGTTCGATAAAAATCATTTATTTGCTGAGCGAGTTTTCGACTATACATTTCGATTCATATTAAGCAAATTACAGATGTATTGGACTGACATATTCATTATTTTGTGAAGTATTTGTTTCATATGTTCAGACGATATCGGCCGAAAAAATGTCGGTGTGAGATTATATAATTGACAATAATGTAAATATTCAATATCACATTTACATTTCAATTCTAAACAGATGAAACAAATATTTTCCAGAACAATGGAATTTCCATTGTTCTGAACGTATAATTAAATGTAGTCCAAAAATTCATCTATGTTTTTTCTGTAAAACCTATTGTTCCACACTTTAGTATAGTTCAATATAAATTTCTGTTATAATCAATGATCATAAGAATGAAGAGAAAGACAAAGAAAAAAATGAACTTAAAGCGAAGTTAGACAACAAACAATTTTGTGGCATATATGTGTTATTTTTTGCCCTTTTGCGTTTTTGGGTACTGATCGAGTATGAACATGATTTTCATCCCCGTGCACATCTCCATTCTATGTGGTCAGCACTAGTTTATGTGTGACTTTCATGGTGTAAGTTAGAACCTTGTTCGAAAGAAAAAATTCACATATAGGATCTACGCATAACACATTGAACTGCCCGGAAGTACAGTAATCTTTCCATTCACATGCTCAGTTATTTTACCTTTTAGAACTCGAGACGATAAGTTTTTTAGGAAAGAAGAAAGAGTACAGGGATGAAACTATATGATTTGTATAGTACAACCATGAGATTATCTAGTGATAGGTTTGGAAGGTTTCAGAATTAGATTGTGTCCTGCAAAACCCTGACTTATATTTAAACTAGGAAGTGACAAATAGCGGTGATTATAGATAGCTTCTCATGCCAAATACGGATCGAAGGTAAGTTTGTGGATAATTTTTTATTTGTAAGTAAGTAAAAGTATTATCGGATTTTCTCGATAGTCATCCATAAAAAACCTCTCACCAGTAACCTAAGCATTGGGAAACTTTGTATTTCTAGTTGAGTAGCATCTAAGATTTTAATATTTCACAAGACTGCATTCGATGTTTTGAAGAAATCGCGAAAATAGGTGAATAAAATTAAAAATCGCGTAAAATAAGATTACACAATGAAAGTCGCATATAAATAAGCCATTTTCCGTTAAAAGAGTCTAAGCATTCTATTTTACAATGCTAAAACATGGATGTTCGATTGCTTACGCAAAAGCACAGCATGCGACCTATACTATATTTTTGGAGGGATAAGCCCTATTCCTTCGAGAGTTCACGATAGGTATCTTAGCTGTTCAACGGATTAGATTATTTAGTTTATGTGCATTCACCCCGTCGAAGTTATTTATTTATAAAAGGAAAAAACTATTCTTTTGTTGTTTTTTTAAACAGAAAGTAGTTTTGGGTAAGCCAGTACAAAAATCAATAAAGAAATTTATCGTTGTTGGTTTTATTATTGGTTCAATTCTACTTATTGGAGCAGCGATAGGAATTGGCACTGGTCTAGTTCTATCTCAGAAAGGTATTTGTTACAGAATTTTATAGTTTGTCTTTAATTTTTCTTTACGTCTACTAGTATCAACAACGGCGGATAATTCTTTGACCTATAATGCTATTTGTACCGTGAACTCACAGCAGTGTAAGTCAGCTGCTGGACTATATTGCCCTAATGGATTTTGCCAATGTTCGGGTGTATTATCTTGGAGTTCATCAACAAATAATTGTACTTGTCCAACAAACACTTTTTTAAATTCGACAAATTTGTGCCGTAAGATGGACTTTTTCTTAATGGTGGACGCATCTAATATAATTACAGTGAATTTTATTTAGAAACGACATATTTAATCAATGGTTCATGCTCAACTACTAGTCAATGTGATCAAACTCGAAATCTTTCGTGTGTATCAAATCTTTGTCAATGCAATACTACCATTAACTACTGGAATTTGAATTATCAAACATGTTGTAAGTATATATAGTTCAATTAAATCTAACTAAACAATTATCTCTATGTTAGTACCACGCCTCAATTATTCGCAAGCATGTGCAACAGATTCAGATTGTTTAGCAACACTAGTCTGTCCATCCACTCCTTACACGTGTAATTGTTCACTTCCATTAGTCGATTATATTTGTGATTGCCCAAATACAAAATATTTTTCAACATATCAATGTGGTAAGTTGAAATTATAGACTATTGTTAATAGAAAAGGAGTATAGCTATATTATATATTTTAGTGAATCGAGGAACATATAGTCAATCGTGTACAGGAAATTATACATGTTTAACACCACTTTATTGCAACACAGCCACAAGTACTTGTACATGTGTTTTAGGAAGAACCTGGAATGGTTCGACATGTGTTTAATCATCAAATCACAAAAAAATTATATACTCCTGACGATTACTCAAATATCGCTGCTGTTCGTTATATTTTTTTTTTGTTAAGAAAACAACACGATCTTCTATGTTAAGAAGTTTAAAATTTTTCTAAAGTATACAAATATTTTTTAATTCTGATGGTTGATTTGATAAATAATTTTCCACCAACAATGTTCATTAAATGAAAAGAATGCCTTAGTTTAAAAACATTTCTGTAATATTTCTACTTTTTACGATCGCTATTCGCTTATATCGTGTTCTTCGAACGTGTGTAAAATGAACATTATATATTTTGTGATAACATAAACACTTTTTAATTGATAGAAGTATGACATTTAGAATGAGGTCGTTTCATAGCAACAGCCAAATTCTAAAATGGCCGTTTATTAAATTTCCGGTGTTGATAAATTTGTCCAGTCTTAAATAAATAAATTTACAGAATAAAATAAAAAATCTTTCAATAGGATAAATGATTGATTATAAAGAAAAAAATTCATTTTTTTACGTTGGAAAAAAAATAATGTGACAAGTGGCTGTTTGTAAACTATATTGACATTGAATGATATACAACTAGTGTTATTGATAGTTTTAGATGATTTGTATTGATTATGATGTATTAACTCAAAAACTATGCAACAAATTCAGCTGTTACCAGCTGGATGTCAACCGTAAGAATCTTTTATATATTTCAATTTAATAAATTTTTAATATTAGATTTTGTTTATGTTTTAATTAAAGATGGAATAATAATGTGGTTGCTATTGGTGGAAAAAATCGCTTTGCCTATTGTGCAACGTTAGCCATCTATATTTATCAATTTGATTTCCATTATGGTACATATTGTTTACATTCAGTTTTGGCTGAATATACAAAAACCATTCGTTCATTAAGCTGGCATCAATATAATGCTGATTTATTAGTAGTTGTAGCAGATGAGATTCCGGGTATTATAATATGGAATGTTGAACAACAAAAATCAATTCAAAAATTATATGTTAATGGCAATATTGAATTTATTGATTGGAATGAAGAAAATGATATTAGTATGTAATATTTCTAATAGACAGTTCAATTTTATTCTCTTTTTATTATCTTAGCATTTATTTTGAACGAGATTAATGTCTATCGATGGCATGTTGATCATGGAGACAAATATGATCCACTGCCTGGTGCACAAAATTTTAAAAGTTCAGTAACATCACTCAGTTTTCATAGAAAAGTATTACGTAAATTTGCATGTGGACATGCTGACGGATCAATATCGATATTCAGTGCGGGTATACTTTCTGAACACGTTGTCAAAAAAACATTTGCATTTGACTTTCTCTTTTTCATAGATACTCAAAAACGACATATTCTAATTGGTGAAAATATTTCATCTGAAATAACTGCACCAGATTCTGTTTCTCAATTAGATTGGGATCCATTAAGCATGAATTATCTTCTGATACTGAAAAAAATCAGTGGTATAACCTTATTCGATGCAGAAACATTGACTATCATTAATACATTTGAATTACCACGTTCATCTGCTAAAATTAGATCATTACAATGGTTGCCAGACGCACCAGGACTGTTCATCACCGGAGGTACAAGCATTACTCTCATATTTTACTGACATATCGAACCTTTTGTATCACTTGAATAGATACAGATAATGGCGTATTACGAATATGGACGGCATCACAAGCAACATCACTTGAAAGCATTACAATTAAAAAATCTGGATTTCATGCGTTTTTAGCATTTATTCGTGAAACTGTAGAAACAACAGATATTACTCCGGTAAAATCACTAAAAAAACAGAAGAAGATTCATTATCCAAAAGTACAAATTTTGTGTGCTTTTTCTGATGGTGGCATCGGTGTGTATGAATTACAGAAAAAAAGTTGGATGTTTTTGCGAGATGAAGTATGCCATTGGAGTGTAAATGTTATCGTATGAATATAATCGTCTTTTTGTTGTTTAGGGACACGTAGAAACAATATTTGACTGTCGATTTCATTCAACGGATCCTGATAAACTAGCAACGTAAGTTTTTTCCTGACTATCTGTCTGATAATTTCTGAAACTCTCATGGTTTGTAAAAGTGTCGAAAAATTTTGTCCTCGATTGAGAATAAGTGGGTTGGTATCGATTTGTGCGTAGGTTTTTATGTTATTCTGACCTATTTTTTCGCACAAGTAAATTTTCTTATGATTACCTGCAAGAGTACTTGAGCAAGTACCGGTATGTACGTACATTCACTACCGTTGATTTTTCACTTGACACGTACATCTTCAATGATTTGTGTATTGCAATCCTTTTCAAGTGTGATCTTGAATATCTTTGAAACATACTTGATTATGATTAAATTTTGATGCTGATCCCGAGTCTGATATCTGTTTATGCGCTCACGGCCTTTCAAATCTCTCTTGTATGTTTGGAAGGGTGACACAAAAACTTGAACAAGTACCTGTCAAGTGAAAAATCAAGTGCCTCCAAGCGAGGCAAGTATTTATAAGTAAATTTACCTGTGTAAAAAACACAACTATCAGGTTTATTACGCAAGTGAAGTATACTTGGGTACAATCACCAGAGTAAATATTAATTCAGAACTTTTTAACATTTTCATTCAATAGTTCTTTGGCACGATCCCCGCATGGGCACTATTGGGAGCAGGATAACCGTAATTAGAGATGTGCACGGCGCCCTTAGCCTACCCTACCCTGCAGGGCATGGTAGGGTAGGGCCCGGGCTTTATTTGAGAAATCTGGAATAACTATATCGTACCTGACAAAGCCACCAAGGCTCTAAGATCACCTGAAATGATATGGTAGGGGAAGAGTACTAAAAATGTTCACAGGGTAGGGCCAGGGCTCCAGAAACAGCTATCCTGCACATCTCTAACAGTAATCTTATCATAAAACCATAAAATTAATTAAAGTTTTTATTTCTTTTTTATTCTTTTGTCTTTCCCATCTGATACAATTTATCAAATAATCACAAAAATATGAATAGACATGCATTTTTTATTTGCCATTTCTTTAGTGCAAGTTTTGATGGCACAGTCAAAGTTTGGGATATAAGTACGATGACTTCTGTAAGTTAACAGAAAGATCATATACCGTACCGTTAAATACTTCTTTCGTTATCATAGATTTCAACTTCTCCCGGTAATGAAGGAATTATTTACAATATATCATGGATGCCCGGTCACAATTTGATCGCTGCTGCTACGTGTAAAAACGGTGTTTGGCTTTATGATACGGATCAAGGAAAAGTTATCAAACGTTTTGTTGAGGTATGCAATCGTAATGAAATAATTACGTTCAATTGGGTAAAAATATATTTTACAGTAGCATGGAAAAAACGCCGTGTTCAGTGTTGCTTTTCATCCGGAAGAGGCGAAAAAGTTAGCATCTGCTGGCGCTGATGGATACTGGTAATTAAACAACGTTCAAACAAAAGATATTTATATTAAAAGTTTTGACTATTGTTGTTTTCTACAGCATTATTCGATTGATTAATGGCGAAATACTTTCAAAATACAAACATCCTGGAACTGTGTATGATTGTGATTGGAGTCATCATAATAAGTAAATTTTATTACTGTGCTCAGCCTCTAACCGGATAAATAACACTTGTTTTGATCTCTATAGAGATTTGATTGTCACATGTTGTGAAGATGCAAAAATACGAGTTTATTATACCAAAGCATCGCATCCAACACCGTTAAAAATATTCTCAGGACATGAGGCAAAAGTTTTTCGTGTACGATGGTCACCTATTCGTGATGGTTATCTTTGTTCAGGTTCAGACGATAAGTAAGTTAAGCAAATTTTTAATGATAAAATCATTAGAGATACGTAACTATTGAACTTTATAATCGTAGTTCAATTCGCATTTGGGATTATCGTAAAGATGAGTGTATTGGTAAACTTTGTCGTCATAAGCAGCCGGTGAGAGGATTAGTTTGGCATCCGGAAATAGCCCATCTGTTAATATCAGGTTCTTGGGATTCAACTATTAGAGTGTGGGACATCGAAACACTGACATGTTTAGAAACCATTTATGATCATCAAGCAGATGTCTATGGTAATGCAGTTTATAGTCAAATCTGGTATGATATAACATTATTTTGTTATTTCATACTAAGGTCTTCATATCCATCGTGCACGACCATTTTTAATGATCAGTTCATCTCGAGATTCAACGCTACGCTTTTGGAGTTTAAGTCGATACGGAGAAGTATTATATTCAACATTATTAATAAAAAAATCATTGAAATCGATAATTTTACCGCTAGAAGGTACAAAAAATATAGAGTGTAGAAATATTATTATACTCTTACAATTCTTCTAGATAAATCAGATACAACCCATTGCCCGTTATTAAGTGGAACATATTCCAGAGAAATTTTATTAAAATATGAAAACACTGATTGGTCAACTCTGATACGAATAATGTCCGAATATTTTTCAGTATGTATTGCTGATGTATATTGAATGTTTAGTTTTTGTGTTTATTTTTTCTACCCTCTAAGATATCCCATGGCGTTGCAAATTTATGGATGCTAGTCGATGTTATAAACGGAATGGATGCACAATTATTACCCGAAAAATATCGATATGGAATTGTTCATTCAAGTCATTTAATAAAGTTCAAAAATGTAAAAAGAAAAAAAATATTTTAAATATATTTGTCCTATATAGATGATGACTGAAATTTTATTTAAATCTTTTAGGGAGAAGCTTTTGAACGGGAAAGAAAAAAAGATGTTTATACTGGATTAACAAGTTTAAAACGAGAACAACGATTAAGTGATGCTGCTGATGCACATATTAAAATCGGAAATATTCAACGATATTGTGAAATTATGATTGAACTTGGAGAAGTAATTATCTCTTAAAATATATTTTCGTTCTTTTTCTATAAGAAATATTATTTGTAATAACTTTCTATCAATAGTGGGATAGAGCTCTGGCACTAGCACCTGCTGTATCGTATAATTATTGGCAAGACCTTTTGCAAAAGTATGTTTTAATTTATAATTGATACGTTTGAAGTGACTGTTCAACAATTGTTTTTTATTTCTAGACATATTTTATATTTAAAAGAACGCGAAGATTCATCATTGATTCCTTATTGTATTGCAGCTGGTGATATTAATACATTGTTACCATTTTTTATGGATAGAGGACGATTAAGGTAAAATACATTTTTATTCTTTTACACAAAATATTATATAATGAATAAAATAATTAATCTATCTAGTGACGCTGTTATTTCAACTACTGCCTATAATGATGGATCTATCAAACGATTATCAATACAGCAAGAATATGATACAACAAATGAAAATTATAGCATCAATTCGAGGTAATATACTATGTGAAAGAATTTGTATCCTACTTATTATACTCTCTCATTTAGTTTATGCGCAAAAGCCTATGAAGAACTTGCCAATTGGTATTTTTTTTGTGGTAAACCAATAAGAGCAGCTTGTTGTCATTTAGCAGTTAATGATGGACGGGTAAATACTATTGTTGAATCTTTGATATCAAATAGTCGATTATTACATTTTATAGAAAGCACTCTCGAAACTATTAAGATGTGGTTTACTCGAGTTAGCGGTATGTCTTGGTGAATATCTTTCAGATATCAATGAAATCAATTGTCTATCAAAATACTATCTGGCAAAGCGATCATTGAATAGTGGGAATATGTATGTAGATATTTCTTCAAACGATAATTAATGATTGTCATTTCCTTATCTTTTATTAGCGATATTGCGATCGAACTATTAAAATCTATCTCAGATCCGATATATCTATTACGTATTTGTGCCGAATATGATCTATATGAAAAAGTATTTACTTATTATCTATAATATGTGATATTATCTTACTTTTCATATTTTTAGGCTAATCTACCATCTTCAACAGAATATGAATTACTAGCGGAAGAATTATTACATATTGAAGGAAAAGAATGTGAAACAATTTTATACTATTTTTTAGCACAAAAACCGGCAATTGGAATTGAAATTGCTTTCAATTACATCAATGGTATATGTTAATATCAAACAATATTGATAAAATTATCATTTTTTAAAATATTTTAGAATGTTTAAGAAATGAATCATGGAAATTAAAAGATGTAGAAAAAATGATAGAATGTTTGGGAAGCATTAATGCATCTGCACTTACCACTTGTACGGAGTATGTGTCATAAAACAAAATCAAATGAATAATGAAAAATACAGTTGATATTCTTTAATAGCTACATATCGGATATTCAATTTATTTGTGCATATATCGGTGTGTTTAAAGCAATATCATATGGATATAATAGCATAGTACCATTACTATTTCAAACATCTCTGTAAGTAGAGAATATTGTTCTCCTTTTATATTATCAAATTTAAATATTGTATTTTATATAGGAAACATTTACGAAATAGTATTCATTTTTCAATTATCACTCCAGAACAGATTGAAAAAGAAGCAAATGCATGGCTTTTATGGGATAATAATTTAAACAGGTTTGAAACATTTCAAATATATAAATATTTCATATTATTTATCTGATTTATTAAGTACTAAACAAGGAACAAGAATCAATAGTGTACTAGAAGGTTTATTTAAAAAATGTCATTCAAAAGAACGATTAATTGTTGAATATGGACAAGATGTTCTATTAGGCTCATCTTTACCATCAAAATCATCGAAATTAATTCGAGTATGTGATTAATCATACTTATTATACACAATCAACGTTATAAAATGAAAATATTTTATTTTTTTATAGGCATCGGATGAACCTCAATCTTACATGTCAAATAATGACATTTCCATGTGGGCTAAAGTCAATCTGTTTTTACCTAATGAATGTAAAAAAATCAATCCATTTTAAGTTTTAATCTATTCGTCTTATTCTAAGTACTTTTGTGTGATATATAGGAAAAAGAGAAAGAGCTCTTTTTCTATTGTGTCAGATTTGTTTTTTTTTCTCTATATTCCTCAATGCTATACTATCATGACCTGTTTATATACAACAAAAAATTTTTTTTATGTAAAATTGTTTATCAATACAAATTTTTAAAGTAATATACTTTTGTACTGATTACAAGTGTTATTTTAATATTAGTCAAAACACATCATAAAACTATTTCTATTTCAATTATCTCAATCGTTTTATACACTAATAAAAATTGTAAAAATATTAAAAGATCATTGATTACAATAATTTCTTAGTGCTAACATCGCATAAGAAAGTAACAGTTGTTACATTTAAACTCCATGAGAGAGAAATCACATATTTATCTGTTAACCGTTAACAATAGATCATTTTCCTATCACATACACACACACCCAGGATGATTAGATTTACGTATAGATAAAACGACCATATTTTATAGTAAATTTAGCATTGTCACATGAAAAAGAATATACAAAACAAAACAAAAAAGATTTATCTACATAAATATACTAGTTTGTACAACATCTGTTTTCTGGAATGCTCTTTATGATAATGGTAATCGAAAATAATGAGGCGTTTTATGGCGTTTGGAACAAAAACATTGTATACTTTTATCTAAAAGAACAACAATGACGACTATTTATTATATAATAGTATTAAAAATTTTATTTTTTTATTATTTAATTGTTGTTGATGGTGTTTCAAGAGAACAGGTTGAAACTCAAATATTCTATATATTTACCATATAATGACTAATTTTCACATTCAGGTTCAAATAGCCAATTTTAAAGCTAAATTATCAAAAGTTCGTACATTAAAACAAGCTTTAGCTGTTTATGCTGATTCAAACATCAATAACCCACATCAAGTAGCGATGCAAAGTATATTACACTTTAAATTTGTATTGATAAAAGAGTTATTTTTAATAAACTATTTTAGTGGATATGCGAAAACTCGAATCAAATATCAATAAACAACTTGAAAGTTATAAAACAGGTGTGAATGAATGATACTTTTCTAATCAAAGATCAAATGTATTTTTTTTGTCTCTAACCATTTAGATGAAAAAACTGTACAATACGTAGCAGGTGGTTGTTTACCAAGAGTAACGTGTATACCTGTGTATGAAAAACAAGTGAAAATGGGTGAAATCATTTTTCCTAATTGTGTCGAAGTTCATGTGTGCAGTGGATGCTGTCAGGAAGCACAATTCAGTTGTTCACCAACAAAAACTGAAATTATTTCATTTAGTCCGGTAAGAAGAAAAAAAATAAATTGTAGATTTTTTTAAGGTTTTATTTTGGTGAAAAGATCATTCGCTTCGAAAATGAAGGTAATTTTCGTATAACTGCGTTGGAACCGTTCAAAACAATTAATCATACCGAATGTACTTGCAACTGTAAATTGGAAAGTAATGCATGTCCTAATAGTGCACAAGTAAGTATTATTAACATGTGAACCTTTCTATACTCCGTTATACGTATTTGTCTTTTAGATACTTGATAAAGAATTATGTCATTGTCGAGATCGCATCTGCAATCCGACTTGTTATGCCATGCAAAAATGTCAAATATTACATTCTGAGCAACCCCAATGTATATGTAAACGACCAATTCCGAGTCAAAACAATTCCTATTTCTGCCCGTTTGGTTCTCATCCTGATGCATATTGCAGGTTAAAAAAAAAGTAAACAAATTGAAATCATGCACTATGAATTTATTCACATTTTTCAGAAGATGTATCCATTCATGATAGTGTTCAAAAGTATCATACATACGATATATTTTGATACTTTTTCAAAAAAATATTGGTGTCATACTCAACGAAAATGGGCGAGTTAAAACGGATATAAAATTCTAGTTGTTATGATATTTATTGTATGTAAATGAATAATGTATATTTCACTAATAAATGAAAAACTAAAATTGATATTATCCTATAGCAATGAATAATACCTCAATCAATGCTGATCTCATAGAATAAGTAAATTTATAAATTCCTGCGTAAAAATGATATTCTTTATCAATATGTCATTAATGTTGTTTTTCTCTATCCTAAGATGACGTGTTGAGTTGTTGATATTTTTTTTTACATCAGCTGCACTGCGTATGTTTCAAAAATGACGAATATAATCTACAGACTAAACTGTGATGAATATACCAAATCAAATGTCTCTTTTATGTCAAAAATTACAGAAAAGTCATGAGAGAGAGAGTAATTGAGATACTATAGATTTCGAAGTAATCTCAACTGTAGGAAGAAATAATTGAGATATTAGATACTAACCTGTTTTCCTACGAAGAAAACATATATAAAACCGGAAATCACTAGATAAAGAGGGAAAAAAAAGAAAATAATATATTACTCTCGTTATGACATATAAATACATGTTTATAAAATCTATATAGACGAGCATAACAAATAAAAGATAGTCTTATATTAGTACGTATATTCAATAACTTTTAAATATTCAGCAAAAAATATGACAAAAAAATTTGAATACATCGTTTTGATAATAACACTATTATCATTATTATTTTTCACATGTAAAGCCACAGGCGAGATCAATAAAGTAAGAGCATATCAATTCGCAAAAATGATCACGCATTCAAATTATCATACATCTTTAATATAGACAAAAATTGCAGATCTTAAAGCAAAATTCGCTAAAGCAAAAAATCTTCAAGAAGTATTAGTTATTATAAAATTTGCAAATACAAAAAATGGAGGGAACCGCTTGTGTAAGTGAAGAAATCTATCAATTGATGATCCAAATATTTTGTTCTATAGTTTAAATACAAAAAAAAAATCCATCTTTTCAGTAGACTACATGTCTCCAGAAGTAATCAGAAAAGAAGAACGAACAATTATAAACGAAGCTGCAAAACTGTTCAGAGGTATGATATTCTTGAGAAAAAGTGAAATACTAGATCGATATTATGTTAATAATATGAATTACTGTATAGGTGCATCTTCAACTGTACCACGCAACGGCGGTTGTGAACCACGAATCGTTTGTGAACTAGTGCCGACCGAGCGACATTCCGGCAATATTATGTCTTATCCAAATTGTATTGAAGTTCACAGATGCGGAGGATGCTGTCAAGAAACACAATTTTCTTGTGTTGCAACAGAAGAGGAAAAAGTCACTTTCAGTCCGGTGAGGAAAGAAGGATCTATAGTAGATGACACAATTCTTTACTTTTTCTTTTTTTGAATCATTAGTTATTAACAATACATTTGGATAATCTTGACGACTATGAAGTTGCTCAACCACTCACACTTAGCAATCATACAAAATGTGTATGTATACATTGTATTATATCTTTAAAATTACAGATAAATGTTAATCTCACAAACTCTCTTAGGTTTGTGAATGTGATAAGAAACCAGATGATTGTGGTAAAGGAAAGGTAAGCGAAAAGAAAACACGATAATTTACTTATTTTAATAATCTTTGACAGGTACTCGATACTACACTTTGTCAATGTGTTCAACCACGATGCACTCCTGATTGTTTGATAAGTTCGACATGTAGTCTGATAAATAATACTCCACGCTGCGTTTGTAGAAGACAAATACCAGGACAAAATTCAAACTACTGTTCAGATGTAGGACAACGACCAAATCAAATGTGCACGTAAGAACTTTGAATATATACATATACATATACTTAGAATTTTTAGTAGAACTATAGATTAACTGTGAATGAAAGAGAGGGAGTTCATTATCTAAAATGTCTGGTCTGATAAAAAAAGTACTAAATCTTTTATTAAAAACCTGCACAATACACAAGTTCTATCTTTATATTTTTCTCTTTTAGAAAGTGTGAATACGTGAATGGTTAATTTCCAATAATTATTCAACTTTCATTTTAACTATTTGCTTTTTAATACCGATGTAACGATTTTTGAATTTTCTTTTAGTAGAAAAACTATTTTTTGCAGCACGCATTGCTTTTAATAAAAAAATCATGAAAACAACAGAACATATGAATAGCTGAAAATCTATCCACTAAAAACATAAAAAAAAAAGAGAGAATAACAATTGAGTTAGTTATTTAAAATAAAACTGTTTAACAAACTTGAATTTTTTTATAAACAGGCAGACCAGAATGGTAGCATGAGAAACCGGCTCCATTTATCACCAGCTAAATTTGTCAATCAAGTAAAGAAAAAGATCGCTATATAATAGAGATTACACAAAATATATATACATAGTACGCACATGAATGTCCCTTCGTATCACATACGTATACATTTACAAAGAGAAAAAACGAAAAGGTTTTGGACGTTACAACAAGTTTGAACAAAAAAGTATATAAATGTTAAATGGTATTTTTGAGCACCAGATGATATAATTACAAAATTATAACGATTAGTTTAAAAAAATAAGAATTTTTAAAGAATCTCTTCAATATTTGTTTGATGTCGGCTGTTGGCTGTATCTAACAAGTCTTGAACAGGTGTTTCTGGACGTGATCGAATGCGAACCTAAAAAATTGAAACAATAATCTATTAGTAGGCTGTATGATATAATAGATTTTATATTATTAAACAACACATACTCGAGCTTTATGTCTTCGTAGGCCACCTAATCTATTTGATGGACACTTTAAACGTCTTGTTCGTGGTTTTGTACTAGAGAATGATAAATGTGAATCTTCTGTCGTAGACGAATCTAAATTAAGCCAATCCATGTAGTCATGTATAAGAACTGATTCCTTTTTTTCATCATTCTCACCGCCATCATCATCATCATCTTCATCTAGTAATCCGCCTGACGAAATTGGTTCTCGAACTCGTGTAATCAGTTCGGCTAAATCAATGAATTTTGAGCCGGATGATTCTTGTTTTTGCTAAACAATAGCTGTGCAATGAAAAGAATTAAATGACGATAGAATATTATACCAGTCGAGCTTGTTTCTCTCGAGATGATTGTAATTTTTGTTTCAAAAATATAGCATCGTACGATTCTAATTTCGACCAGCCGTGAAACACTGCACGACCATGATGATAGCCCACTTCCTATAATACAATGTGTACATACAAAACTGTGATTTTTTGCACGTTCGACTTATATTTTTACCCTAATTTCATCGAAACTGCCAAATTGCAATGTTCTGTATCGATCTATTGGCGGTCGAAGATATTCACAAAAATTTGAATTTTTAACAAGTTCTAACTGACGTTGACATGATACATATGCCAGACGAGTTTGTATTTCACTAAGATCGGGCACCTTGAAAACACTCATTTATAGTACGATGTATGCATGTTGTACAGGAAGACATACTTTAACGGGTGTTGTCCACGGATTCCAACGTTTATATAATAACCACCATCCAGATAAACGGTCACCAAAATTATCAAAATTTTGTTCATCTTGAGAACCAACATCAACGGCAATAACTGTATGAGCTATATCACAGAAGAAAGAAAGTCATCCAATTAACTTCAGCATCAGCTTTTGCGTGTACTACTTACCTCCCATCTTAGACATAACATCCGCTAAATAAAAGAATAAAATATTTCAATTAGTTAGTCAATTTGAAAATGTAATTTTATTACACCAAGTTGTAGATCATATTTAGACTATAGTAAATGAATCATGTGTAATAGCGTGTTAATAAAAGAATGCTGCTAGAGTAGATTCCTGGACATGCCCCAAAGAACGAGGCCAATTATCTGATAAAATTGGCCCATGCCTGAATTTCATCGAATAATCAAAGGCTAGATGTAGAATGAAGAGAAATATTTATCAGTACTTACCAGACCTTAGAACCACACAAAAATATTGATCGAATCAAATTTAATTAAGTTTCTACTGCATCTGGTATATATATTATAGATCGTAGTTTTGGATCTTTTTCTCTCAGTTTCATAATTCCTCACGACTATTATATATCATTCGAAAGCTTTTTTTCTTCGCTATATTTCCGTATATCACATATACGGAAATAACCGTTCTGAGGCCAAGTATATTTAGAAATACTTCTGGCTATAGAAAACGATCCCCCACGTGCAAAAAGTCTCAGATATTCTATGTCAACATTTCTCATTCGGCCACTACAATAGATATACCATTCGATAGAGAATTTGTCGAGCTATAATTTGATATATATAAAATAGAGAAAAAAGTGTCTTAGGATACCTTGACATTGGAAATGTTTCTGCAAAGCTAGAATTCGGCTCGTAATTCTCAATTTTCTCCATTAAAACTCAACTTTTATGCAATAAAAATATCATATTCAGAATCAGGATCAAAAACTGAGTCGATCAATGTGTATTTCGAAATGTTTACTTGATTTTCACTTTTGGTGAAAATCTCGGTAATTTTTCAACGTGAAAATTCGACAAAAACTAAAGTAGTCGAATAGAATGGAAATGCACATTGATCGACTCAGTTTTTGATCCTGATTCCGAATATTGTATTTTTATTGCATAAAAGTTGAGTTTTGGTGGAAAGAATTGAGAATTGCGAGGAGAATTCTAGCTTGGCAGAAACATTTCTAATGTCAAAATGCCGATTACATCAGATAATCGTCCCCATCCTTTATTCATACCTGGTACATTATTCACATAACCACCGTCAAGCAAGAGATGACCATCATTGGGATCGCATAAAGGTGGAAAATAGCCGGAAAGACTCATACTTGCTCGTACATAACGCCATAATGAGCCTAGAAGCCGGACAAGAACAAAAGAAAATACAGTAAATCTTTTGCCTCGAACTCTATTCTTACACAAATGTTGCACTTCACAAAATTATTTGGTTTTTACTGATATATGAGGACGTGTAAATGATATTTTCATTCTGATAGTACATTTACTTAGAAAAACTTCCGAGAAACAGATCATATGTTATACGATCATAATATAGAATTTTATTAGTGTCCAGGAATCTGACTCTCCTAAATTAAAGGAAAATCAATCCAAAATTAAAATGAGAATTAATACTAGTCCGAAAGCAGTTATTAATCCTTTTGCTATGCATGTATTTCAATTTACCCGGCAGGTTATTAACGTAGCATCCATCTTAAAAAATATAGAATTATAAAGGCAAGATGGAAAAATGTACCATATGGACACTAACCTAATAAAAGATGGCCATCTAACGGATCACATAGGGGCGGCAATAGAAATGCATACGTCATACTTGCTCTAACATATTGCCATGCACAGCCTGAAAGACGTAGTAGACGTTCCTTTTTTTTGAGAAATGCAACATAAGTGAAAGAAGATTTTTTCACATCGTCGATGAATCGAAGATGGCTAGATCCCGTATTGTTTAAATATGTGTTTGTTGAATTGTGACAATGCATAATTCAACAAATATTTTGTGATAGTATACTAACCACTCGTGTGTACTCGCATTTTAGATGCACTAATATCAGTTGTAATACAAAAATAGGGTATCCAAAGGTCTTCAATTTGAACATCGAGTAATGCCTCTTCAATTATTTCATTGAATGTAGCGCCTACAAATAAAATTTTTAAGTATCATGTAGTTTTGACTTAATTTACTCTTTAATTTACCGGTAAACATGCTCGTGATAGGATATGTTAAATCAATTAATTTACGCCATACCGATGTCATTTTCTACACGTAAAAGCAGTAATGACATATTTAAGCAAAAAAGCACACGTTTTTCATTAAACTTTACCCCACACCAATCTTTCGTTCGTTCAACGTATCCTTGAATATTTAATTCATCTGCCCATAAGGCACCCATGAGTGCACCAATACCTAGATTCATGAACATATACTCAAAGAGTAGCGTACTTTTATTAAAAACGTACTTGTTCCTCCAATTAAATCGATTGGAATTCCTACTTCATGCATTGCTTGAATCATACCGACATGAGCACATCCACGTGCACCTCCACCGCCTAAAACTAATCCAATTGCTGTTCCAGTTAAAAATCTCGCCATACGAGCAAAATCAGATGTTGAATCTAGCTCAGATGGAAGTAAATCACTGTAATCAGTCTAAAATAAACCATATTTTTAGTTCAATATGTCAACTATCACATGTACAGGATTTTGTTACCCAAGACTGAATATCAGATTCTGATTTATATTTGAATACACGATCAGGACATCGGATATGATGATGAAACGTCACCCAATCTCGCATATTCAACCAGCGAGCAGTACCTTTTGGTTTTTGACTATCCATACGATGTAACAAAATCAGTTCTTTTTGAGCTCGTACAGCAATACGTTCAATTTCGTTTTCAACCTATACACCATAACCAATAGTGAATAACTGAATAACATCAAATAATAAACAAAATACATACAACGCCTTTAACAGGCTCTTTCCAGCCGATTCCAACGATTAAAATACAGTCCGCTTGCCTCAGTGATCGTCGTGTCCATTGTGTTAAATTTTTATCACACTGATAAACAACAATTTTATGAAACTCTTCCTGCTGACCTAACCACGCCGATAAACGATAGTCGTTGATACTAAAAAGATAAAGAAGAAAACTTCCGTGATTATTATTATACTAGAGATCAAAGCAATATGATATACCTTTCGAGTGCTGATTCACCAAATCTGTCAATTATGAGTTGTTGGTTCAAATGAAGTGTTGGACCTATACGTAATATGTAATTAAACTATTTTCTTTCAATCTTACACATAATTTACCTATTGCTAACAGACTATGAACAAGTTCACATGTAAATGCATCGAGTGGAACATCTCTAAATAAACATTAAATTAAGTGTATTTTTTTATTTTATTTCAAAAACTTATTTCATACTCTGAGGCAGCTACAATTGCAACTGTGGATAAATTTTTCGTTAATGTAATCGAACGATCCTGAAATTCTTCTTTAAAAGACAAGAGCGAAGTTTTTCTTTTTGAGCTTAGTAAAATTTTAAATTACCATCGGTCGGTGGCAATGTTAGACTAACGCCATTGGTCAATGTATTTTGAAGAGTGCCATAAATTTTTTGACTTAAAACATTAATCAGTCTTGAAACAACTCGTGGATGTTTCCATTTAATATAATTCAATAAGCCTGACGGTATCACAGCAAGCTCAGTATCACTAGATAAAATTAAAATAACAATACTTAGAATAATAAGAATATAATGAACAAACAAACATACCGTACGGCAAGAGTAGTACTTTGACGCGGCATTTCCATTAACACTTCAATGATTCCAACAATTTCACCACGACCATACTCCCCAACTAATTCTTTTTGTTTTTTATCTTGTGCCAACAATACACTTCGTACTCGACCATTTAGTATAATGTAAACACTTTGAGGTTTATAGTCTTGTCTAAATTAAAATATAAGTAGTAATCATTGTGTTAGATGTTTCTTCACGTACCTATATAACGCCTTTCCAGCTTCAACTAACATCCATTCTAATGCAAAATCAATTTGTCTTACCAACGGAGACATACGTTTTACCACCACTATGAGAAAGTATATAAATCATTAAACAACTGTTTTAAAAATAACAGTTGATTGTTCCTTTACTTGCAGCGAGTGGTAATACGAGATTTGGTTGTATACGCATTAAATCATAAAAATTTTCTTTTGTTATTGTACATACGTCTGTTACACCTCTTGTTCGATAAGTGAATAATGTTGGTTCTAATACGTAAAATAACATGTGTAATGGAAGCGACGTATTATTCATTCACTTACCACCAGTGAGCACACTAACTAAACCACTAATTTCTCCTTCACGATCAATGAACATGACACCTAGACACAAGCCATGCAAATTACATTATTTCGCTGAATAAGCAAATAAGAATAAGCCCTTACGTTCTCTTTTTGAGCCGCTTATTTCTTTCATATAGGCACATAATGATCCACGTATGACGTAAAATAGTTTGTTTAATTGTTCACCTGCGAGAATGTAAAAGATAAACATTAGTGGCCGAAACTCATACTGAAAAAAACTGATGACTATACAAACCTTCTTTTGCTAACGTGTAACTGTCAGGCAAACGATGTAAATGTACTTTATCGTCCAATAACGTGACATCTTCTTCGAGTCCTGAACATAATATAAAATTATTCAACGTGGCAAAGTAAAGCTCATTTTAGGTTTCTACATACCGAGTACAGTAGCTAATGCTTCTCTGATAGATGGCCATTCGTCTTGTAATCCACTATTATCAGAATGTTCATTATATTCACTCCCTGCACTATCACTTCCTGTGCCATACGATCGAGAGTAAAAACTTCCATACTCATGCTTTAAAATAAACATAATAAACATACTCATGTTAAAATTGATGTAGAAGTTGTTGCTATTATAAGGAAAGGGTTAATACCCATTTCAAACAGACTGGAAATCTTCATACCTCTGAAAAACTTGAATGTCGGCCTGGTATGTCTGCACTAGTTCTTTCTGGTATTTTCCCTTTGCTCATATGCGGGTATGTTTTTTTCTGTTTTTCAAAAACCGTTTTATCTAATGAATTTTTAACCCGTGCACGCGCGGCTGCTTCTTCAAAATCGGGTTTCAATCGTTTACCATCTTCTATTAAACTCATTGAACGTTTTACTTGAAATGGATCTTTTTTTCGACTAGTTGAGTCTTGCATAATTGGTACTGGAGCTGAGGGTTCGACAACAATAGCATTGGTCATAGCTTCTGTTGCTTCTTGCAATGTTGATGCATGAGCAGCTGTTTCTGTTGCGGTAGCTAATGCTGCTAATTGATCAAGTTTTTGATTATTCTTTACTACTGTATTAGACAATAATGATTGTTCATTATTATCCTGATTTGATATCATTTCCATTTCACTTGATACACTTGGAATCGTTGGTAAAGTACTTCTCAGATTATGACCATCATAATCGCCGCTGATTAATAATTCGTGACTGCCCGTCATTGAATTCATTGATTTCTTTTGTTCTTGTGGTACTGTTGAATTATTTTGGTCTGATCTTGATGTTTCTCGTACATTCGTGGTTGAATGTGTTGATGAAGTCTGATTGTGAACATGGGAATGATGGTGTTCATGTGCTCGTGAATTTTCAGGATGTTCTACTGGATTATTTGTTAGATTTGTTAATTCAGTTGTTAAACCCAAATAGTCATGCAATGCAAGAAATGTCACACGCTGTAGACGAATCATTAAAATCTGTAATAAAATCAAAAAATAAAGTCATTCTTACATAATGATGATGATTATTGTTATCATACGCACTTGAATTATACGAACAATACATTCTGGATATTCTTTGAAAACTTTAAGAAAAGCAATAGCTGGCAGTTTTAACACAACAGAATCTTCAATTGCTTTGCAGGAAACTGTTCGAAATGGATTACTGTGACCCTGAATATAATATTAAAAAAACTAAAATAGTTGACAAAAACCCTATCCAAATAAACGTGGCAAATAATGAACAAATTTACGTACGGTTAAAACATCGACAATACTCAATAACGAAAATACTGTGTCACCATCAACACATTCTTTAATCAGATGACGATGATGCTTCTAAAATAACGTTCAACATTTAGATCAACAGATAAAAACGATCATTTTTAGTATTTACTTCATCTGTAATAAACACATGTAATAAACCTTTCTGTACAACATACATGCTATTGTCATCATCCCCAATCCGAAATAAATAAGAACCTGCCACAACAACTTTAGACTCCAAATATTTACATAATTCAAGAAATAATGGTCGTTCAAAATGACCGAATACTCTAAACAAAAATGACGAGAAATTATTTGATTCTCACGAAACGGAGTCAGTACAAACTTGACACTTTTCAATAAATATAATATTTCTGGTGGCACCATATGTTCGCCTCTATGTGCTCCACCAGCGAAGTCAAAATCTATAAACGATAAAACATAGTATATTAATAGTTCAGGAAGATATTAAAATCAGACCTGTATCGAGCAAAAACTCAGGCGGTGATCGTGGTTGCAATGTAATAGGAGCCTCATTACGAACTTTCGCTTGTTGAAATCTAAAAGAAAAATTATCATCTACCACTACTTTCACAATCTTTGTTTATCTACCGTCTCGTACGACGACGAATTCGATTGTTGGCTGTGGACGAATAAGAACTCATCTAATTGAAAGAGTTAAATAAAAAATATCGAGAAGAATAAACAAGAATTCATATACCGTTCGAAGAATACGTTTTCCATAATATAAAACTTTATCTCGTTTACGAAAACGCGGCTTTGGCTCATTTACTAGAACATAAAATAGAAAATAAACGAACTAGTTTTTCGTTGTGTGTCGTCTTTTATGAATTTTTACCCGTTTTTTTTGTAGATCTACGAATAAGATAATATAGTAAGACGGCTACAGTAAATAAACAAATGCCAACAACTGTACTTTCTATATGATGTTCAAATAGCTACACAAACAAACAGATTATATTAAAGACAATGAAAGGTAACATTGATAACGTACAATAAAAAGTTCGGCTATACGAAGATGTTGATACAATATGTTGAGCAAATTCTGCATCATTTATAAACAAAAGAACATATAAACTGGTCAGATTTATGATCGGGAATTATCCCTGAAGGAATGTACATTCCATTTTGGACGTAGAGATCAATATAACGGTAATTATCTAAAATTAAAAGCATATACAGAGTGAAACAGAACTTTTTAGTCTTTTGTGGTTGGGAACGGAAGGGGGTTGAAGAAAATGTCGTTTTACCGTATATATTCAACTTACTATGATGAGACAGTGGTCAAGTTTTAAAAAGGAATATCTGACTATGGTTTTCGACGTAAACACCGAATACATTTCCGATAAAGTTTATCGGCATGAAATAAATCCATAACTGAGGCAAAAATAGCGTAGAGTAATAGTATTTTGTTTACTAATGTTATGCTTATTAACGGGTAAAAATTTTAAAACTGTAGAGATAATAACAGCAGCTATTTTTAATTAAAAATAGCTGCTGTTAGTATTTTGTTTGTTAAAACAAGTAACTATTGGATTTTAAAATGTTATATTACTTGCAGATTATAAGTAATGGTATTACCTCTACAAAATCGATCAAAACAGCGAACGCTGTCACACTATAATGCTTTCTTACGATACGACTGGGTGCTAGTGGTTGTTGATAGAAAGTGCTTGATGAGCTTTATCTTTTACCAGTATCAGATTTTAAATCAAGAACGTTCATAAATATTAGTATTTTTACAGGTGCGTCGCATCTTAGTGAATCAGAAAGTTGAAAGGATACTTATACAAACAGCAGAAGGATCGAAATACGCGCAAGCAATTATATTTGTTTTTTTCGTTAGCTAGGTAGCATATCATTCGGTAAACTTTGAGTTATGCTTGGCGTAAGAGTTAGACGCCAGGCACTAGTATCTAGATGAGTTTTTATTGATTGTACTGCCTTAAACCTGCTATACTAGTGTAGCGTATCCTGTACTAAATTCAAATTGAAAACTAGAGCAGAACCGAATGAGTTCACTGATTACTATCCAATGAGTAAAAACAGACTAGATGTCACCAAGGCTAAGACTAAGACTAAGATTGTTTATTCACGAAAAGTGAGAGTCATCAACGGTCACCGACCTGTAGTATCAATGACTCAAGCCAAACAACACCAAAATAGTAATAAAAGAAATAACAAAATAAAGAAGACAACTAAGATTAGAACCAGAAGTAGTAAAATAAAACAAAAAAATTTTAAAATACAAAACAAAACAAAAAAAGAACAAGCATAAATGCTTAACTGACAAGCGTTTCACTGGAAGAGATACTGAAGTAAGGCTGTTTTGAAAGACATAAAAGAAGAAAGACAAATAACTGACTCTGGAAGATTATTCC